GCAAATGTAGCAGCTCTCGGCACGGCCCCCTCGAATGGGCTGAGAGCTGCCGGCTTGGCCGGCGCCGGTGCCTCGAGAGGCGGGGGCAAGGGCGGCCCCCCCTTGGGAGGGGCCAAACTAGACCAGGCCTGGTTATTGGCACCTGGCGGCTTGGCCACTGGTGACTGCTGCCCCTGCATCCCTGCCGGCTGAGCCGGTGGGCCCGCAGCCTGGAGCGCGGGTCGCTGCTCGGGCTCTTGCGCTATCTCCGCTGTTTTAACCTCCGCCTGCACCGCAAGCTGCTTGGCAGCTGCGGCCTTCTCGGAGAACTGAGCCTCGAGTTGCTGGTCACGCTGCTGGGCGGCCTGGGCAATCGCGATCTTCTCGGCCTCGGCCCTGGACCGAAGGGCGATAGCAAGTTTCTGGGCGTCTGACTCGGAGAGCTTCTTCCGGGCTTCTTCAACAAATGCTTCCATCCGAGCTCGATCGATCCTGGCCTGCTCATCTCTCTGGGCCTTCTCAGCTTTGGTTTGCTCTTGCTTGGCCTGGATCAAAAGGTACTGGCAGTTATGTTCATCCATGCTGATGCAGTCACGACAAAGCCAACTGACGCTGCATTTGGGACAAACCTCCGAGCATTGCCCGCAGACGGGGCGCTTGCAGGGCCCCCCTATTTTGTGGGCCTTCCCCGGCATCTGTTTTCAGCTCGATGCGGGCACATTGGGCCCGGATCCCAACAAGCATCACGCATGGAAATCGTGCTGATACTTCGCGACGACCCCGAACCTGATCGAGCTCCACACCTATGGATCCGAGGCCTGGCTCGATTCGAGGCTGGAGATCGCGCCTCTCTAGGCCTCAAGTGAGCAGTACTTGGCGACTGAGGTGGCTCAGACGGCTTAGCCGCTGGCTCGTCTTGTTCATCACGCTGAACCAACTGGCGAAATGATGCTATGGGGTCTTCGGCCTCGTCCGCTTCCGCTGCCTCAGGGATCGTAGGCTGCCAGTCGGTTGAACCGATGACACGCCTGAAGAATCCCTCTTCAAGAGGACTGTGCTTCAAGTCGTCGCCCTCACTCTCGCGTTTGTTAGTCTGCGGAACCGACGTGCGGCCTAAGGCTTCTTTAACATGCCTAGACGGCGGAAGAGACCTAGACGAGGGCTCCTCCGACTTGGTCGGGGTCCCGTCTGTCGGAAGAAGTGGTGGGCTAACCTCAGGCGGGATCTCAGCTTGCCCCGGATTCGCGCCCGAGGGCTCTGAGGCACCTCCGACCGCGCCGACTGGGTCGGGGGCCGTCAGTCCTTGCCACGAGAGGGTAACATGATCTGAGGAGGGCGGCTGTCCACCTCCTGGTTCCAATAGGGCATCTCCCAGGTCAGCGTGTTCTTGATAATCGACTGTTTCTGCCTCGGATCGCTCACCGTTTGGGACGGGGCAACCGATAGGGTCCTGGAGTGGGAGCCTTGGGTCAACCCGACCTGGACACGTGCGAAAATCAGCTGAGTTCACGTCTTCTTCGTCTCCTAATTGCCCGTCGCTGTCGTGACCGTCTTGCCCGTCCAAAGCAATTGGAACGACCTAAACGCCCCGGGGTTCGTCCCGATCGTCTGGGACGATGGGGGTCTCTCCGGGTTGCTCGTCCTCGTCGTGGGCTCCACTGGCTGGGCCAGCGACCCTGGGGCTCCACTGGCCGGGCTGCGTGGGGCTACACCAGGATGCAACGGCTCTGCGCCTGACAGCGCCGGCTTTGCCAGTCTGTCTCACGGGGGTCTGGGCCCGATCCTCCAGTAACGAACGTCCTGGGGTATCGTTGTGAGACAAATCAATCGTAGGAGCCTTGTCCCTCAAAATTCGCGGGCTATCCGTCACTAAATGTGAAGAAGACCAACTCGACAATGGCCTCCGTCTCGCAGCGCCGGTTTGGCCGGTCTGCCTTCCGGGTGTCTGATCCCTCTCCTCCAACTTCTTATTCTCTGGGGAATCGTCGAGAGACAGATCAATCTGAGGAGCGTTCGAGAGGTTGAGAGGAGAAGGGCGGCCCTTCACGCCGCGTCCTTTCCGAAATTGCTCAACATGATGTTCTGATTGTGATGTGTCGAACAAATCTACTTCCTGAGCGTGGCTCATGGAACCCAAAAAGACTTGGTCGTTGGTTTCGGCGTATAACCAGTCGTTCCTCTGGGAATCGTGGTTGAATGTAAAAGGAACATGGGTCTCATGATCTTCAATAGTCGAACTTGGTGTTTCACCATGTGTGGTCGTAGATCTATTCCGGGGGAGCTCGGGGAGAGAACTACTGGGGAGAGCCATGGCTTTGGTAGCAATGAAGTCCGTTAAGCAAAATGTAAATGCGTGCGTGCGCGCCGGGCTGGCCGGCCGAAGGGCGAGGGGAGGCGCGCGCGCGGAGACCTTTTCTCCACTTGGCTCACAAAGAAAGCTGCGGACAGTACTGATGCATGCATCATCGATAGATCGGCGATGGCTTCGGCAATGAAGTCTACAAATGCATACTACAAGTAC